ATATATTTGAAACGTGTGTTAGATTATAGAAAGGAAATTAATTTGATGTCAGGAGTTTGGGGAGGAGATTGGAAGTAAAGATGTAAAATTGGGGGTTATCAATACCTAGATGGCATTTCAATGTGATGAGTCTAGATGAGATCATTTATCAAATGAGTGAAACATGGAAGAGACAAAGAGAAGAAGCAAAAACACTGAGCCCTGGTTCACACAATGTAGAAGCTGGGAAAAAGCAGAAGATCCAGAGAAAAGAATGAGAAGGAAAATTTGTTGGGATGGTTTGATGTGTAATGAAGATGTGTTTATGGGTTATTTTTCATTTATCCTGAACCACATTTACTGAACATTGTATCTAAAGAGTCATGTCTTGGGCTCTAGAGATTTTCTTCTACTATATGGTTATTTCTTCCCCTGAATCGCCTTTGCTCTTTGTCATTAAAGATACTCCTTAGATGATTGTTGGACCTGTTGGATTTTTATTTTATGTTTTTCATCTCTTGGTTTTATTGCTTTATATTTTGGGAGACTTCATTTTTTCTAATTTAGATTCTTTTTGCTGAATTTTGATAATTGTATTCTTGATTTTTCATGGAGTTTTATTCTGTTATTCCCCTTTCACATATTGGTTTCTTCTAGTTTATGAATGGATATATTCATGAATCTTTCTTAAAATACTAATGAGAGTTAAAGTTCTCTTCATTTACTGGATCTATATTTTTCCTCCCTAATCAGTTGTTCTTTATTCATCTTGATCTTTCTCTTTTCTGTTGTTAATTTTTTAAATTATTGGTGATTCTTAGTTGTTCATATTTATTACATAAAAGGCTAGGTTGATTATTATATGTGGCTGGGCATGAGTTTCCTCTGCCATTACTGCTTTTATGTGTGTGAGAGTGTTGGCTGCAAGCTGTGTGTATGTGGGTGGGTCATTCTTCCCTCAACAGACCCAAATCAGACAACGCACCTGCACACTCCCACCACCCTACCCTCAATGAAAAAGACAAGGAGGACCTGTTATGGGGTGCACTTGTCACTCTGAGAGCCTTTGCGCCCCCCCCAGGAGATGTTCTAATTTTTAAAGAAAGTATTTCTTCAGCTTCACATACAGTATCAAAGCTATATGTGGAGGTGAGACTGCATCTTAGGTCATGTACTCAACTAGGCAAGAAAGGTTACAATTATTTTCTTTAAAGCAACTTAGTTTTGCATCCCATTTCTATTCCACTGAATTCTCAGGTCATTCAACCTGTTATTATTCACTG